CTCTCTTATCCATCCGTTACAACCAACTGAAAAAGACTGAATCTTCAAACTTAGTTCTTCGATTAAGTTACCCAATAATCCTCTTGTAAGTGGATCCAAAGCGTATCACATCTGTGCAATTTATACACATGGTAACTTGTCCCAGAAGCTGAAAAACATAATGTCTTTCTGGTTTTATTATTGTTATTTCAAAGCCCGCCTCAGTAACATGCAATACGTATTAGTCGCAACGTTTACTCAAAGAAAAACCTACTAATGACAATATGCACAGGTTACCTTCAGGTGCTCAACCTCTCCACAAGCCGTGTTTGCCAATATCCATTGCCTTGATATGATGGGCTACTCACAAAAGTAAAAGAATGGTTTGTAAAGCGTTAGTTGTTTTGATGACAACAATGTTTTCAGCAATATCATCTGCAAGAGGCTCACAGCACAGTTAGTGTCCAGATAAACATATAAAGGATGAATGAATCACCATAATTGGTGACCAGTGGGTTTTTTAATTCACTTTGGTTTCTGACCAAATCAGTCAGTGAGATTCGGAACGCAACTTTCAGCATAGGCAAACTGAATATGTCTTCATACCGCCATAAATATGACGTCAACGAAAAAAGCGTAACGCGTCCATTCCTCCAACACGGAAAAGATCTTCGTCCGATAGATACAGCAGACATTATCTATCTAGGAAGCCTAAAAGTAAGTAGAAAACCTACCGGCTGGCACACACATACGCCGACACAACTCTCTTGTCCACGGTTAATATAATAGATGTTTATTTCTATAAATGTAGGACATATCAGTTGTACAGCCATTCATAAGTACTACACGAATTACATTAATTTGATTTATGGTGAAATCACATGGTTGCTGTCGATTTGTTTTTAGTTTCTGGAAACGATCTGCTAACTAATCATCCAGTGGGGCTGTCAATGTCCAGGTCTAACCACAATGGATTTAACGCTGTCCTTAGAGGACCTTCAGCAACAATGTGCAATAACCAACGCGAAAAACCAGAACACGGATTGGCGACTCAAGAATCCTTTATTCTTGTGCCAATATGTAACCAACAATAAGGTTATTATACACAAGGTCTAAGAATAAATGTCATAACAATTAATCACATTAATGCTTCTGATAGGATTTCTCCGTCTTATAACGAACAGCATACGATGGAACGATGACTGCAGTATCGGTGACTCCCACCAAAATATGGAGTTGGGTTTGAGTAAACACCATGAATTGATCGTTCATTCTTCAACTACATTGACAACCCTCATATTTAAAACACGGCAACAGTGAACAATAGGCACTGATGTCAAGTGACCCAGATTTGACCGGTCCGATAGCTTGGCATTACAAAAGCATGCTACTCACAATCCTTGTTGAAAATGTCTCCTAAATTTGGCTTTTGGCTTCTCTGTGGACGATGGGATGATAGGGAGGAATAAAACATGCATATGTGGACGCATAATGACTCTGAAAAATGATTCCTGTGCTTTTGATGTCTATACATACAGATGCACCCACTTTATATGAGGAAGTCTGTATAAGTTGGTAAGTCGTACATAATTGGTGATTTTTTAGATGCTTTCTTCTCGAAATCAAAGCTCCCCCTTAGTAATATATTGCATATATGCAGCCGGTATCTGCTACAGCTGGTGAAATAGAGAATGCATTCGTTTGATGTCTATAACTACTTCTAAGAGAATTTGAGGCCAGATTCGCGGCATGTTAGAGGTATATGTCCTATATGATTCCTTTTTATTACACATACATCGTAGATACATTTATTTGTAAATTAAGTGCCACTTTTCACATAGAACAATATGATTTGCTGTTTCAAGGTCGTCTGAAGTTGGTGTCTATTCTTCACTGTTGCCCAAAACATCTCTTCTTCATTTAGGAAACTATGTTTCACTTACCAAAATTATTCCAAATTTCTCACTGTAGTTAACACTTAACAATGAATTTTTACATTCCTAATGTACAGTGACAACTCAGTTTGATGACAAATAGATGTTCAGTCAAAATGCCTAAAACGACTATTTTTCTCCTTTTTTTAAAAGTCTTTGGTTAAAACGTGGTATTTGAAATGCATCAAAGTTAAGGAAACTCATGAAAACAACGTATGACAACCCACATACAGCATCACGATAACAGCTGACTTATGCACCAATCAGCTGATGTGTGCCGCTATCCATTGCCCGACATCGACCACATTTAGCGCAGCCTTCATTTGTTACGCGCGTTTTCGACAGATTCAGACAACAATGTAAATTTCTTTCACCTATGTAGGGTGAGCTTACTGGCATTATTCCATAACCTTTTTTATATATGTACCCTGTGTAAGTGAAATATTGTAAATATGCCTACTCGAAGTATATATTACTTATAACATTGACGATGCCTGTAAACTAGCGTCCCTCGTGTACACAAGGTGAGAATATATTATTATCTCTATTTTGCATGACAGCGGGCACATTTAAAGAAGACGAATATTTATTTCTGCGTAGCTTGTACCGCAGAATTTCGCATTCACAAGTCCTTAAGTTTCGGAATAAAAGCCTAAGGAGCCTTTTGACTTTTTATACCTGTAATTTAACATATTCCGTAAGGCTAAATTCTAGGGAGTATTTCAAACCCAAATCTGTTGCAAGCGGCAGGCGAGGAGTATGAATGTTGTGTAGGGAGACGGAAAGTTAGGTTGAAATGTTTTTGGAGCACAGTACTCCACATTTATTCAACGTTAAACTTTATTTTACACTTGTTACACCACAAATGGATGCCATCAATATCGTCCTGAATCCTGTCAAATAGACATGACACGTTATTCCTGAGTGAATGATATAATATTTGATGTCATCAGCAAGTAGAAAAGGTCTGTCATGTTTAATAACGTCGCAAATGTCATTGAAATATAACAGGAGTAATGGTGGTCCTAGGGCACCACCTTGTATAACTCCACTTGTTATCCAAACCGAGTTGAATATGTAGAGACCTACCGTGACCATTTGCAACCTATTGCTTAGAAACGAACTGAGCTAGTCTAACAATGAGCCTTGGATCCCATAAGGATGGACTTTTGATGTTAGCAATTGGCGGCTCACTGTGTCATAGGCCTTACTAAGATCTAAGTATAGAATTACTGTGATCGGAAAATTGTAATGGCATGTTGTGCAAGAATGTGACTTCATGAAATTATGTTGATAAGGTGTGATAAGTTTCTCTTGAGGGAGGAAGTCAAAAATGGCACCTTTCACAATCTCCCAGAATCCCTGAAATAATGGAAGTCAAGTTTATGGGTCTGTAACTCATGACACTTAAACGAGAGCCTGACTTGTACCTAGGGGTAATGTGCGTAGTTTTCCATGCATCTAGATATATTCCAGCTGATAGAAAGGTAGAGAACACTTTAAGAAGAAGAATGGAAATGTCTTCACCACCGTATTTTAGGAAATTTGAGGGAATCGTATCAGGACCAGAGTTGTTTGAACTTTTAAGAGAAGGAAAAGATGATAGTTCCTAAAGTTTTTGTGGGCGTCAGGAGAATGGAGGTTGTGGTGAGAAGTAGAAGTTTAGAAGTTTCCAAATTGTTTTAGGGTCACTTGCAGTCTCATCATTTTCAAAATTGGATGGTTTATCCGTTTTACGGGAGTTTGGCCTCTTGCGGTAAAGCCTACAGATTGCGGTGTATTTAGAAATACTTTTGAGAGCTGCATTTTCTTGTGTGAGTAAGACCTCGTCGTTACTGTCTTTTGATTTAAGATAAATGTTCTGTATATTTACAAGACACCAGAAGTAATTTCCCCTGTGGTAATATCTATGCACCCTTCGTAGTTTAGCCATCACTTTTCCATAAATGAAGTTTTTATGTTTTGGCTTGAGTTCTCTTTACATTTAGGAACAATTTCACCAAAGCATACCGATACCTTTTGGTAAGAGGCTAGTAGGACAGTGTTAAGGTTGCCACTAGGGAAGAACAGGTCTTAGTCTAAGCCTCGGATGTGAGTGGTTAGATACATCCCACATAGCTTCATCCGAAGCGCTGTGTAAAGCATTTTAATGAGTGAAGTTTACTATTGAAGGAGCAGATTATGGTGTGATGGTCACTACCTGGAAAGGAATGGCTTGTGTCTATGTTAGATAGGGCGATGTCTTTGAAGAAAACTAAGTCCAGTATATTGTGATTTTGGGCGGGCCTCAGAATACTTTGTGTCCCTCACATAACTCCACTGCATCTGAAAATTTACTGAAGTGGGGAGAAGTACTGGTGGGTTCCAATGAGACTTCAGGCATCTTGAAATCACCCCCACTGACTTCATGAGTGAAGTTTAACTTCGAAGTGTAGTGAAAGGCCTCAGTTATTTCATTTAGCAGTTCGCTGTCGTGGTTTGGTGGGTGGCAGATGCAACCTAATAACAGAGTTTCCTGTTCAGTGATGTAGACTGTCACCCGTAATGTGTTGCATATATTCAGGTTGGGGTCATCATAGTTCACAGCTCCGCGGAGATAATGCATCCTCCACCCCGCCCAACTGATCTGTTCTTCCTGAAAAATGAGTAACCTTTTCAGTGAAAGAAATCATTTAGTTCACTCGTACACCAAGCTTCAGCAATCGTTAGTGCTGCAGGTTGGCTTATCAGTGGTAGGGATAGGATGTATTTCATCTCGTTTACATCTGACCTGGCATAAATGAGAACTATGTTGGGACTAGCTGGGTCGGATCTTGAGATTTTGGCCATGTCTTGAAATTAGCTTCTGATGAGATTCAGTCATATTGTTCTCAAACGGCAATAAAATGTCTAAGTCCGTAGAAGCGCCAGGAAAGCTAGAAGTGCAGAAGCGATCAGTGATATTTTTGTGTTCCAGTAAATTGGGGCTTAAAGAAAAATGACTGTCAGAAAATAAGGAAATAGAGGGTCTCAGGTGAATTTAGAAACCTGTCAATAGATTTTCCACATTCTGACGAATTTTCGTGGCCAGTTTCATATGTTTATGGAAAACACGTAACAGGAAAGAAGGAACCAACCTAGTAATATAGTTAAATGAGAATTGAATGAATGAAAATCATCTAAGTTTTGATGTGGCGCTGAATACGGTTGTGGTTTCTTACCTGTCGGATAAATCGTTGTTGTCTAGTTCCACGCAATGTCATTATTAATCATATGAAACACATGCCTCTTTTCGAAAATATAAGGAAATGTGTTAGTCGTCGACATGGGTTATCTCGTCGAGTAACAAAAGTTTTGTTCAATGTGAAGATTAGTGAATCTTTTAAATCTCCCAATGTTCCGTCTCAGATTCGAGTAAGTAATTCGTTTATCATGTTTATGCTTAGGATTTATTGGTGTACATTGCAAGAGAAGGTGTGGCAGTCACTGACCTGTTTAGAAGACCAGGTAATCCTCAAGATATGAAAAAAATCATAGCGGATCTTGAGGCCGGCAGGCCAATCAAGTGGACGGACTATAACTTCTATACACTTGCGAATATTGCCAAGCGTTACCTCCTCCATATTGAAGGTGGTGTTTTAGGCCCTCAATCTGAAGAGAAGCTGCTCTCTACACTTGATATACAAGATGATCAAGCTCGGATTGAAGCGATGCACAGGTATGCAATCAGTGAATTTTATGAATCTTTGTTCACTATTATTAAATAGAGTTTGTAGAGTATTTGAAATAGGTTTATTTATTTGTAGTTATTGGTGCCACTCAGTATAGCTATTCTGTTATGAATTAGTTGTACCCACATAATGTGATCTTGTCTGACAAATTTACAAACTACAATGATAACTGGATGCTATATGACTGTAGTTAATCATTCATGTTTTAAGTACGAGAGTTCAGAAATCGATGCACTCATTCATTTCAGTATATTCTGCGAGAAATTTATTTTGAACATCTAGATGTACTAGGTTGTTTTATCAAGTTATTAATGGCAGACCACTGCATTTGGTTCAATACTAGTTTGACGCGACTGGTGGATTCAGACGTTTGACTTTCTAACGTCGAATTACGAATGCAAACTCTCCACTTGGCGAGTCTCCAGTCTAAATTGGTGAATTTCAGACTAAGACTACTTTAACTAAGTTAGTCCTATCTCAGAGATTAGGAGAGATTTATGTGCTTTTTAAGTATCTAGGTGGTTATTACTTTCCAGTTGGCCAGACCGTAGAGGATAATTTTTAATTGGAGTACCTGAAACAGGGACATTGGTGTTGCGTAACAGCAGAACCCATGAGGCAACTAATTATAGCCGACCACACGATCTGTACTAGGACCTTATTGCCAGTTACGGACCGTCTCAAGGTAAGTGAGGATGACCAGTTTTTGGAGCCGACCTCTTCTAACTGAATTTCAGAGATCGAAGAAATGGCGTAGCTAGTTTGTTGGTCATCTAGGGGAAATAACTTACTGCTGTCACATCCTTATTCGCCAGCAGCCCGACTTCACTCACGAACCCTCCAGCATAGTGTAAACTACTGTAATTGTTTGTTGTCTAACCGCTTTTCTAACTACTTTTCTGGCATAGTAAGACCTGAGGTACCATTAGTTCTATCCAGTGTAGTTCTTTGGGTCATTGTTATATGCAAGCCCGCCCACCACGTCAGGGTAGCAACTATCATTGGAGACTGGGTGTAAAGACTCTTAGTGAGACGGCTCAATATCTTTCACAGTGGTGCAGATGTATCCACTCGTGATCACTAACCACTTACGTACTGTGTCAAAACAAATTATGGGATAAATGTATGTAGTCTCTTAGTTCGATCCTCTTATAGAGATAAAGATATCTTGTCTTGAGTCGCCGAAGGTATAAGAATCATTGACTAAAGACTGTTAGTGACGTGACTCGAAATAGTTCTCTTTTTGATCTCCCAGATCCATTGAATCCTTATTATTTTCCATGTAATTTATCCTTTCTCCCGCACGTTCCAGTCGTATTTTTTTGTTTCATCTTACCTTTATGTGTGCTTATGTGAAGTCTGGCAACTTAGATTGCAACACTGTTGTGCAAAGTTATAGACTAGAGGTTCTGTCAGTCATTTATTCTGTTCACCTTGAGCTTTCTTGTGCAGTTGGAATTGTGACAATCCTAATTGGGTCCACTTTTGTGCTAGACAACCCAGACACAAGCTACCACATATTGAGTATTCCTCATGAAAGTACTTGTAGTATTCGGGTGCATTTGACTCGACTAACACATAATTTTTACTTCTCAGTTACTTTTTGAACTTCTACTTTGTTTTAGTGTGATAGTTTCTCAACCGAAACCGGTTCAGCAGCTACTTGCTCTATTGTTTGGCATCTGGTTTCGAATGATCTATCATACAGAAGTTAATGCAATGTCTGTAGAAGCGGTGGCTAAATCTGTCGCTGGATCTGTTTTCCCAAGTTGCACAACTACTCCGAGAAAAGTGAGAGATTATTAGTTTTTTGTGCGTTACTTTAATGAAAGACTACAAATATTGTTTTTGTTTACTTAGAAGATAATTCATTCTAGGTTTATTTTCATCTTCATTGTTCATCTGGAACTTTTATTTTTGGGATTGCGTTCATGACTATCTATTAGTCCATTTATGAGGTTATTTCACCTTTATGAAATTCGGTTTATATCTCATATACTTCCTCTTCCACAATTCACTACAGTAATTTGAAGATCCAAAGGAATTGTATTTGCATCATCATCAAGGTAGCATTCTAATTATGTGGATGGTTGGTTCATGCAGCTGTACCAGTTAGCACAGTCTTCATACTGTAGGGTAGTAAAGTAAAGCTCAGTCGTGTATATTTGTGATTTAGTTTTATTAGTATGTGTAGACGATTCAGTTCAATAGATATTAATTTATTTCCAGTGACGAAGGGTACAAATCTATATGGATCGCTGTGTAGTCTCGTTCATGTGTAGATGGTGGGATTCTTAGGCCGAATAAGTTTCATCGCATAAATGAGTACGGGCAAGTTTCCTCTTACGTACTTATATTTTATTTATTTGTTTAAAAACCTGGATTTGGTACAAGTTAGGTACGAGAAATAACAGTATGAAAAAGAGAGGAGAATTTTATTTGTCAGTTTGTTGGATTTTGCCAGTCTGCAAGTCTTCGAGTTTGTGTGACACTAGACATACATCATCCACATGTGGAATCCAGATCTTCTAGAGTCTTCTCATTGGTGGTCTAGCGTATTCCTGTCTCCTCGCTCCCCACAGTGTTCCGCATAATCCAGTCCGCCACAGTCAGGAATATCATTCGGGGTGGTAGTAGGTAGTCAGTCTACCTTGTCTTACTGCTGTCTTCACTTCGAACGCCTCGCTGAGTTTCCCGTTGTGAATCACCTGACTAACACGTGGCGGGCATTGTCATAAAGCCAGTTGTTGAATGAGGCTGATAAAGATTTGGGAACTGGACGCCGTAGTGTTGAAGTAGTTTCCAAATTACTTCTCGGTCAACGATGTGCTGTCTGGTGAAGGCCTTCTCGAAGTCAATGAAGGAAGTTGAGGTAGAGAGAGGTTTGACTGGCATTCTATGTTTTGTTCTGTGACGCCGTTGCGTAGAGTTGCAATTTGATCAGCACATGATTTGCCTTTCCTGAATTCAGCTTGCTGCAATGGGTGGATGCAGAGTTCTGCATCTCCAGGATGACGCGACTTAGTATTTTTTTCGCTGCGTAGACGAACGCATTATTCCATGCTAGTTCTTCTTGCAGAATGAGACATAAATCGCTCTTCTTTGGCAGCTTGACAAGGCAGCCAGTCTTTCTTCCAATCCGTAGGCACCTTTCCTTCCTCCCTCCCAAGCTCTTTGCAACTGTGGCGTGGGCATATCTGCTGCGGTCTGTGGGTTCGTTTTCAGTGTGTCAGGGGAATTCTGTCTGGTTGTGATGCCTTCCCTGACTTCAGTAGCTTGATCGCATTCAGGATTTCTGCTTTCGTCGGAGGATTGGTGTCCACTGGTGGGCAGTTCCGTGCATGCTGTTGTTGTTAAGGTTGGTGGTATTTCTGGGTGAGTTGTAGGCGATGATGGGCGATTCAAGAGTCTTTTGAAATGATCAGTCCATTGTTTGATTTGTTTCACCTCCTTGGTAAACAGGTTCCCTTGAACATGCGTTATTGGTTTCATCATCTGGACGATGATTGATTGATCTCCTCCCAGATAGCGGGCAGCCTGGTTATCTGATATAATGTTCTCAGGTCTCTTTTACCTGCCACCTGCCTGTTCTGCTTCTGTTACCAGCCAGTGTTTCGTAGAATTGTCTTTTGTCTTTCCTAGCACTCTTCTTCACTTATTTGTTCAGTACCGTGTACATTGAACTCAGCTTCTCGTTCTGTTGTTCATCTTTGCATTGAGTCATCTTCGCTTTCACCATCCTCCTCTCCTCGCCTTGATTAGCTTCCAGGTGTCCGTTGAGAGCCATTCCTTGTCGTGTCACTTCTTTCTTCCTAAAGCAGTTTTACACATTTCCCTGAATATCGCCTTCAGAGAGTTAGTTCTAGTGTTCCTCCACGCAGGTCAGGTTTCCTCAGTGATACCACGTAGTGTCTCCGATTTTGCTCTGGTCTGATCTTTAGTAAAGGTATCCCTTGTAGTTTTATCATTTAGTTTCTTAATGTTGAACTTGAATTACAGTGGTCTGTCTCCAGTTGTTCTGAAGGCTCCCAACTTCATCGTGAAGGTTCCTGGAAGTAGATGGTGATCTGAGCCTGCCCACATCTGCTCCCCTTCTCGACTTTGTGTCCAGCAGACTGGCTGCGTGTCCACATTCTTGAGCCAGTATTCAGATGAAGTTTGCCTGGTTTGTGATGTGTCCATCAAGCGAAATCCATGTTGTCCTGTGTATATTCTTGTGTTTGTACACGCCGCTTCCAGTCACCAAATCATTGAAAGTTTAGAAGCTTGTGAAGAGTTCTCCATTCTCATTCATTTGACCGGGTGAGAACCTCTCTACTCGTGATGAGTTCTCTTCCTGTATTATCTGCTCCCAGTTCGGCTGGCATTGATATCGCCCCTTGAGGATTTTGATGTCACCATTAGGGATGTTGTCCATCACTGTTTGTAGTTGTCTGTAAAAATCTCCTTGTTCTCTTGTTCCGCGTTGTTTGTAGCACTGTGAGTAGCATTGCATGATAACTGTGACCCTCCTTCCTTCCTTCCTTCCTTTTGAGATGAATCTTGCTGTCATGTTGCAGGAAGAGATTGGTTCCCACTGCATTGGGTCTTTGTCTGCAACTGGTGAAATCATTTGATCCACTCGGCGCCTCAGTATGCTCGTTGTTATCGTCTTTGTGACCAGACCGGAGTAGATTACTTTCTTTCCAGTTGACAATTTTGATAGTCGATATGCATTCCATCCGCTCTCGCAGATACCCAGCACTTCTGCGGAATATTTTAGCATCTCTTTGCTACCTGGGCAGCCTTTCCAATCTCGTACATAGTACGGACAGTCCACGTCCCCATTCTTCTCCTTGCTTTCACCAAGAAAAGACATTAACTGGCTGAATGGCTTCCCGAAGGCTTACGCCGGCCCGCAGTATCATTTCGCCTTTTTGATTCCAGCGAAGAATAAATTTGCTTTTTAAATTTTTTGTATTTATAATATATTTTTTGTGCGTTGAGGTTTGTGTAGCATGTATTACGTCGGCTCAGTTTAAAGACGGGTGCGGACATGGCTTCATTCCACATTGATGGAACATTCTTACTTTCCTGAACAGTTCAGTCACCAGCCTAACTAGAATCTCTCCACCATCTTCAAAAGAGCTATTGGTAGATCGCCTAGGCCTGATACCTTTAAGCGTTTCACTTCGGACCTCCGCTTGGTATGGTGAGCTGGTATTGACTAACCATGGAGCACTGTAGTTGGTGGGGTGTTAGCGGTGTTGGCCAGCTAAACTGCATTTCGGAGTACTCTACCAGCGTTCCTGGTGCCTTTTCAATTCAGTAATTGACGCACCATCCACCTCTCTAACACCATGCTTCTTGTTGTGGGTAGTTCGGATGAACTGAGACAGCTTTGGGCTATAGGCAGATGCAGCTGCTGGTTCTATTCCATGCGCACGTTCGTACCGACAGGCTTCGCAGTCCCAACGTAAACACTATTTGATCTTGCGCGTATTGTTATACTAGCTGTTCACACATACCACACAGGCTTGTTTCAAAGGTATACTTAGTGATTTCATTTTAGAGTGAAGCAACATTCAATTAGTCACATTTTAAACAATATAGTAGGCTATCTGATCAGTTATCAGTCCCTACATATGAGAGCAGATGGGTGTAGGTAGTCTTCACTGTATACTTTAATGGGTTTCAATATTTTGATTTCCTCTCACAGATCCACATCGTTAGTTCCAGATTAAATAAGTTAATTTGATATAACTGTGATACAGTAATAATAACTGGATGAAGTTTCAAGCTTAATTTATTGCTCATAATCACAAGCCAACCAACTCTTTCAGAGACAAACTTTGGCGGCTTAAGGACCTGATAGATCCAATTATGAAAAATAATATAAATTACCGAATGCTATTTAAATGACTGTGAAGTTAATTACTCATGTCAAACTAGTAGATCAGGGTGAGTTAGATTATCGGAACATAAGAATTTAGCTAGATCTAGGATGATGAAACCTGCTAAGTTAAATGTAATACATTCATTTGCATGTAATCATACAATAGGGTGGAATAGGGTAATACATTTAGATAGTGAGAGGTTAATCACTGGTTCTTTGTTTATCGAATCAACACTGAATACGTGCAACTGAAATTACTTAGTGCTTGCATCGAATATATGGGAAATATCAATAAAAAATGGCCGGAAGTAGGACTATATAAAGCAAGTTATATGAAGCTGCATGAATACATTGTTATAATTATAAACAATAAATTGCGCACAAAACGTCATCGAGTTATAAATAGTTTGTCACTTGTTATATCAAATAAATCAATGGGGAATTATATTCTACCACAGTGCTCAAATTGTGCTCTTTCAATAAGCCACCTCGTTGGGCTAACCGATTTTAACAACAATGGTACTGCAGGTCAGAGAAATAGCTTGTCGAATATCATCCAGCTTTCCAGGAGTATCTGAAGGTAATTGCTTGCATTACCGTCTACCTTCCATACAGTATCACTGGTGCTAATCCTGTTGCTGTCTGTGGATCAGATAGGCTGCAGCCAATTCTAACTGGTTCTGGATGCGATTGCAGTGCACGTCTCACTTAAACTTTCTGAGGATCAGGTCTTCAAGATACTGTCATAAGGCTTATATGGGCATATTAGTCTCACTCTGTTACGCATTTGGTTAGACAAATTCTTGTCGGGATGTAGAAATACGTTAACAGAACATTGTATCACACAACACAGATTCTTAACAGATTTTTACGCTGTTTTTTTAAAAGTTTCGATATGTGAGTACATAGATGATTTTATTTCTTGATGGGTAGTAGGGTAACTGATCCGATTTTTTCGGAACTTATGCTTTTCACTGATGAATGGGTTTTTGTGGGATTTTGAATGCAAATAAGTGGATGTTACAAAAAATAACTATTGGTTTTGTGTATTCACATAGTATTTTCCATAATTTTTAAAAAACTATCTGCTATGGTTACAACCAAATCAGTACATATATATATATATACATTAATGTTTTATTGTAGGTTGAGCGAGCGTCAAAAGTCATGGAATACCTTATCACTGGCTTCGCATCAGCTGATCTCTTCAGTCGTGAACTGATAGAATACTTTACTCTAGAGACTAAAACTAGTATTTCAAGAGTAGAGAAGTTCAAGTATGAATTTCGATTTCCAAAGGACGTGCCAAGTAAGCTCATTGATTATGTTACAGCACAGTGCTTTCCACTCTCTGGTTAAATGATCTGTTATGTAAATGTGGATTATTTCGCATTTTATTCAAATGTGTCAATATAGGTTTAAAAAATACAATTAAGAAAATAATATTTTAAACATTAGCATTTAAGATTCTATATTAATCAGTCTGTGCTTTTGTGTCAATCAGCCCAGATAATTTTAGTTAACATTCTCCCGACTTTCTAACATTTGAATGGGTCAGTTAGGCTTTATCGATTATTGTGTAAATATAACTTTTATTAAATGTCAATCTGTACTAATATGTGTACTAATATATGCCGTAATTTTATACAAGTATCTTAACTAATTTCAGTTAGCTAAGAGATTTTACATAAGTGTAGAATCTTTTGCCACCATGAATAAAAAGAAATTCAACAGGTGGAATAAAAACTGGCATGTAGAAGAGTGGTTAGCCTCTTTGATATGTTCACTGTGTGCAACTGCGTCGTCGATCAACACTTTATTGTGTAGTCAGTTAACTTCTTTTTTATCATCACAAGCCATATGATAATAGGGAGATTCATTAGTGATTCATTAGCTTAAGCTGTCAACCTTCAGTCGAATGCCTCCTGATTTCTACATCCACTAGACCCACTTCGATTTGGGGCAACCTAATGGTACCAGACGCCTGGTAGGATATGATAATAAAAATATTAAATTAGATCAGAAGAAACTACATGAGTTGTCACATTCACAGTGTGTCTTTTGAACACATTGTAGTACTTTACAATCTAAGTGTTAATTATAGTAAATATGTATTTCCATGCTGGAATCGTCTGCTTACAGTTACTGACCTGTGTGTACGTAAGTCGGCTGATTGATAGCTGGTAAAGTGTTCACAAATTTCATGCAACTTGTGATGCTGCTTGAGAAATTATAAAGTGGGATTAGTATTTCAGTGAATGATGAATAGACAGACCTTTATTATGCTTTACTGAACACTGGATAAAACGGATATATAATAATCGAATATTTACATACATATTAGTTTATTGGATAATAAGCGACATGTAATCTATTTATTCTCTGAGTAACCGGATACAACAGGCAGACTAAGAACGCGGGGGGTGGGGAAGTGTGGAAATCTTCCATTCTTTTTTGGTAGTGCTTTTTTTAAACAAAGAAACCAATAGAACACTAACAGTACAACTTTTGATCCTGAGCTTCATATGATAGTACCATTATTATCGTCATCATCAGTATAATGACGCGTAAAATATTCCCTAGCCCATCATTGCATTGTTTTAAAATGATTCTGCTTACCTGATAACTTTGCTATTCATAGGTGCATAATACTACCGCCAGATTGTAGACAACGATGATTAAACACAGACTCATATTGGCATTTTCTGTAGTGCTAATTTTTTTATTTAATAACTACCAACGTTTCGTTGTAAAGTAACAATGGAAATATAACCATCTGTAATATGAGAACCATATTCTGTATTATTAAACAATATGTTTCATGCGGTCGACCTTGGGTAGTCTTTCTTTGGATAGTGCATTCATTGGTGTGTTAACGAGTGAATGAATGAGTCAACTCAGGAAATTCAAACTATCACACATTACACCTCGAGAGTTAGCAGTAATGATACAGTTGTTATAGGTAAATCGACTAACTCAGTCTAATTTCCCCATTTAGTTTCAAGTAGTGGAAAACGCTACCTTAGGTTTTTGGTGGAGAGTTTGTTATAGGAAAAAATCCCTGGTAGTCCGCTGCGACAAAGAAAACTTTGACACTGAAAACCACGATTATTTCTCTGCCTTACACATAACTGCGTTTAAGTATTTTTGGAAGATGGAGAGTTGATTTTTGCATCCAGTTAGTAAGAAACTAAAGAGCCTTTAATTGTCATATGCACCTCTGGGTTCTTCCAGAAGATCAATATTTTAGCAATTGCACTACGGGCTACCATTAGTTTGTTTTACTTGATTTGTATTTTGTAAAAAATAATGTTAAAAACCTTTCTTCTGGAAAAACAGTCGATTGATATTGTAGCATGTAAAACATCGCTTCATCGGCATCAAAGAACAACAGACTACCCCAAACACTAGGATCAAGACTACTGCCGCCACAGTTCATCATAACCTTCACATATTCACATTGGCTAGAGAATATATTAACAGAGACACGCCTAGGTTGGAATGCTGGAATTTGAGCTATATACTTCCTGATAGGGGAAGTTTAGGCTATTGATCAATAATCCACCGATATTTAAACCTACTGGTTTTTAGTAAATAACTCTAATTCAGTTTAAAGTGTTAGAAATATTCTGGAAACGAGTAGACAAAGATGTCAGTTGACATTGTACTGTCGTCACCAATTCCAAAACGCTGAACCTGCTTGTTTTTCAGGCACCCAAGTGTCTCATTACGGTGTTTAGGAACCTGCTTTGGATCGTTTAATGCTGGGTTTCCTTATATGCGTTGCTTAGGTTTAAAATATTCCTACCAAGCAGAGAAATTTAAAATTTACAATATATATATATATATTCAGAATGAATAACCTTACTGTTGATGGCGTGATGATTTTGGAGTTGAAGACTTCTGTGTGTTGTGATAAAATGAGTTTTCAGCTGTCTACAAACATTGTATATTTCATCTACGTCAGGCAACTTTCTGGTTACAATTTCCATATTTACTTGACAGGAGAAAAATCTGTACGGTTGTTTGTGCGTATGTTGTTAGAAGAAGGTAGAAAACATGGATTTCATCTGATAAATGACGGTAAGTCAATCTTCATGTCAACAAAAGGTATCTGTGTTTTTTTAGTTAGCGTACGTTATTTTAGACTACTTGTATTCAGTGATATGAATAATCGTTTTCTTACATTTGGTTTGATCTCTCAACTCTGTGGGTCTCATTGTCTTGACCTGAAATTTCTACTGGAATAAAATTAGGTTAGGAGAAATCCGAATGCAATCAGACCCATGAAACATGACTGACTGACTTGTTTCGACATAGAACTTTGCACAGAAGTGCATTGGTTGAGGCTACCACACTGCATGTAGCACACACACACACACACAAAAGAGGTTCGGAATAACGATATTAAGCAGAAATGTGTAGAAAAAAGAATGGTGACATGGAAAAACAATTGAGTTTTATTGGATATCACGAAGAGTGAATTCATCTGAGCCAGCCATTGAGAACGATTTTGAGCCATGTCACCAATTGTCTCCAGCCATTGGTTCTTAGAATCCTGAGGACCTCAATTGGGCAGCCGACTCCCTATATTGCTCAAACTAACTAACTGTTAAACACTTCATAGACTGATTGCATGCTCTGGTTTGACCACCATCAGCTCTCTTCCAAGCCGATACTAATGTCACAGTTAACATTTCCCGTCAATGAAGGCGATGACTAGGCGTGCGTAATATACGTCCTAGCCATCTCGATCGATGCGGCTTCACAATCTCATCGACTGATTTTCCATACTCTTTACCTAACACTGCACAGTTAACCTCAGTATTACTCAATTTATTATACCGCCTAACATGGGCGATAGAACACAAACATCTGTAGTTAAAGACAGCTAGTCAGCCAGCTTTTTCATGCCTTCCCCTTTCAATGACTATGTCTCACAGTCACAAAGAAAGACAGGGCGAACTGCTGAGCGAGCAGTACACACGTCCTTTGATCGACAACTGGATATCACGTCTACTAAGCCAGAGGTGGCGTAAGTTGGCAAATAACCACACGAGCTTCCTGCATCCGTGCTGAGATTTTGTCAGCGTTCAACCCGTTGAGGTTGATGTGAATTCCGAAACAAGTGAGGCGGTCAACACGCTCAGCCACTACTTCACTCCCTGTCTTTAGGCTAGGAGTCAATGTGGTCCAGTCCTGTAGCATCATTTCACATTTGGCAGGAAATAGTCACATGCCAAACATTCGAAGATTTTTACTCAATGTGTTCAGAAGACTCAGTGTTTTATCAAAGTCTTTACCCTTGGAATACTATATCATTCACATATTCTAAGTCAACAAGACTATATACTGGTGAAAAGTTAATCCCTAAGTTTCTGAAGTCAGTTAGTGTTAAGTTCATTAGTGCGCCTGTAATGAAATTAAACAGAAATAGGGGCAATGGGCATCCTTGACGGACACCACTGGTTTTCATCACTTCATATGACAACTCTCTGTAAGCCCCTGAAATGGTCTTGTGAGTTCGAGTAGAGTACCGCGGTCGGTGGGATGTACTTTCTAGACACTTCCCTCACTGCCAAACACTGCAATAGTACCTTTCGGTCGTCATGGTCGAATTCTGCCTTCAGGCCAAGAAATATGGCAGTTATTGGACTCCAGTAAATGCGCCTATGATCCAGAATCTATCGAAGGGAACATGAATGATTGACACCGAAAATCTTATACATTAACATTTTCAGAGATCAATTAGATGACTAAGTGTCAGTCGTAATGATACGAATACCTGTGGTTTTCGTGTGTGTGGTGAATGTGTGTACATATAGGGAAAGTGATCTACTGGGATCCAGTCATCTCTTTTTTTCTATTCCAGTCTGAATGTTCGTATACACTTGTGAGTTAAAGGTTCCAATTTGTAAACCATTACTGTAGTTAAATGCAGTTACGTATTAATATACTGGCATCTCATAGCACATACTAGTGTGTAACAAGTGGTTATTAAGGTTGAGATATTACAACTAGTCAATACATGTTACTCTTATAGCAAGTGTCACATTTAGTGCCACCAACATAAGAGTAACGGGGTAAAGCACGAGTGTCGTCAGGGGAGAACGATGCTGTTTTGTTTACATTGCTGTAAATCATTGGTTAAGTTTTCTTCGCAATACTGCATATATGTAGTGGCCATCGGATGGCGACCGACGTAGTTGTCAATTTATTGCAGCTGATGTAATATTACTCATGTTTGCAATATGAATTTAACGATAATGGTACATCCTCTCTATTGTTAAATGTTGACAGTTGTTGCCTATAAGCAGCGCTTAGATTTAAATTTTTTGTTGAGTGACCCAAATTGCAGAGAATATAATTTTCTTCAGGCTTGCAGACATGTGTTTCTTGATGAGCATAGGTCGGTATCTCAAACGGTTTAGTCTTTTTGCCGAATGCATTCCAACTTTTTGCACAGCAAGATATGCTTGGAATTAGCTTTTGCTGAATCTAGTACTGTGACAAGGATTATCGGCACAATGTTCGAAGCTGGGAAGAGTGCTCAGATTGCCGAGGAAATGAGAAGATATAGTGTGTGGATGCTCGGAATCTCTAAGAGCAGATGGAATGGCAGTCCGAACTGTGAACTGGAGACGAAAACCACGAGCACACTAAGGAAATGGTCATCATGATGTCGCCGACAGCGTCCAAAGCTGTGATGCAATGGGAACCAATCTCATTCAGGAAAACTAGAACAAGATTCAACTGAAAAGGAAGGAAGGTTACAATCACCCAATGTTACGTGCCTGGAAACACCTCAGAACAGGAGAAGAAGGGAGACTTTGAGGATAACTGCAAGCAGTAATACATCAAACATGAAACGGCGACATCAATGTTCCAATGGGAAAAATGAATGTAAAGTAAACTGCGAGGTAGAAAACTGATTATGGGTCGATAGTCTCTTTGTGAAATGAATGAGAACAGCGAACTATATGCAGACTGCTGTGCGTTCAATGCTTTGGTGATTGGAGGCGCAGAGTGTATGAGCGCGAAGGCATACATGCAGTGACACGGGTCTCACCTGATGGACACCCGAAATCAGATAAACTTCATCCCAATGGTGCTCAAGAAAGTGGAGACTCAGCCTCCTAGACACAATTGCGGGCTCAGGTCCTCATCTTGTGCAAGGGGCCTTCAGAGCAACTGGAGATAGACCACAATTTAAGTTCAATCAGAAAGTGAAAAACAGTACCACAAAGGACTCCTTCACTTCAATCATCAGAGCTAAGTTGGAGATATTGTGTAACATCATCGAAAAAACTTGTGTTGAAGAACACCTCCATAAGGTTACTGAAAGCGGGATATGCGTCAGGACCGGACAGAATTCCTCCGAAAGCACTGTAAGCGCATCCAGAGACCTCAGTGGATATGCTCACACCACTATTGCAAAAAGTTTGGAAGGAAGGCTGTCTCATCAAACTATCAGAGAAGGGCATTGGACTTGGCCAAAAGTGGCGCGGGATCATGCTCTCGTCCGCACCAAGAAAATATGAAGTCTTGTCATCTTAGAGAGATCAAAAGATGATCAGGTTGTAAAATTCTGCTCCAAACAAGTTAGATTCAGGAAAAGCAAATGGAATCTTGCGAATAGAATCGTCACGCTACACATCATAATCGAACGGAGCACACAATAGCGATTAAATATCTGCCTCAACTTCGTCGACTTGAAAATGGCCTTTAACAGCTGGGTTCGTGAAGCAATTTGGAAGATACTTCAACGCTACAGACTGCTTCAAACCTCAGTCAACCTTATTCAACAGATATATGACAATGCTGCATGCCAAGTGATTCACAATGGAAGCTTTTGGAGTCAAGACAGGAGTAAGGCAAGGCTATCTCCTACCACGGGTGGTATTCCGAATTACGGTGGAGTATTTCATGTGACAGACCGTGGAGAGTGAGAATATAGAGAGCGGACTGCATTGGACCGACATGAGGACTAGTAGGTCTTGAGTTTTTGGATAGTTTATCTCTAATTTCACACAAACGGAAAGGGCTACAAGCGAAAAGCTAAAAAATGGCTAATGAGGCTATCAGCGAAACCAGGACTTCAAGTGAATATATAGAAGACCCAAGTGATGAAGATGCCTAATTACTACCAGCAGCAACCACGGAAGAAATTTAAACAAGGTCACTTCTTTCACATATTTGGGTAGCATCATCTTGACCACTGGCGGCACGGCTGAAGATTTTCAAGTTACGATTAGCAAGATAATACGGATCTTAATTAATGTGAAATCAGAGTGGAAATCTACTGCACTCAGTATAAAGAACAAGATTCAGATTATCAATACTAATGTCAAGTCAGTTCTTTTATTTGGTTCCAAAATTTGACTTGCGCATAATGAAAAGCATTTCGAACAGGTTTAAATACAGAGTGTCCTCAACAGGTCCCTTCTCTATCTCCATAGTGAAGATGGGATGGCCGGTCAGGAAAGATAGCCACTAATTAACTCTGGCAACAAACCAACCATGAATTTATTGTCCAAGAAGTATGCAGGAGAGAAATAAAGTAAATCAGATGCACTCTGAAGAGACGGTTAAATGAAGTCACGCGCCAAACCCTGAATGTGAAGCAACGCGTTCTTAGTTCAAGGATGACACGGAGGAGGTCGTATGAGGAGATGAGAGCTCATAGGCAATAGCGAATTCAGGTAAAGAGGACTGCAGGTAACAGGATGAAATGGAGATATGCTGTCAAAGCCAAATGTTCCATTCGGAATCCAAATGGATAATATGTTAATAATTATACCAAGTCCTGTTAAGTGTACAATTTTCAAAGAATCATCCCAAACGCAGGCATTTAGATGTTCTCTTATATATATAAAGATGTATTATTTTCGGTATAATAATTTCTGTGATTTTATGTTTTAACTTTTCTTTCATAAAATCCTGTAGGTAGGTAGGTATAGACTGCATTCTTTTGGCTTGAAACGTAAAACAACACAGCTGCTATTTTATTTACTTCAGAAATCAACTTTTGAAATTACTGTTTTCTCTTTCAGCTGTATCCAAAGAAGTTTTCGAACAAGCGACTTGGTACAATGCATCCGCCCCAGTGGTTTCAAACTGTGACGAGAAATCAAGAACTGATCAAGTCACTTCCCAGTCTGAGGATAGACTGTCTGCTGAGAATACTTCACCGAATGTTTCCCGTGTACAGAATATCAGTTCTTCACAGAGTGAACGTTATATCACCAAAGACGGAACTGTTTTATACGCAGAATCGAGTTCCACGTTAACGCCTACTCTTCCAAGACGTGAAAATAAACTGTATCAGCATGGTATGATAACTAATTCATAATTTATGAAATAAGTAACTGCATGTATGCAATAGTATTTATTTACTTGAGCAACATTTTCCCCCCAACCTATTCATTCAAATTTACGAATTTACCAGGTTATCAGAAGTATATTTGAATTATTAGTGTGAAGATAAGGAGATTTCGAATTATTTTACAATTTATGTCTGTTCTATGCAATCACGTTCGTTCATAATAGACAGGCGAATAACTCAAAAATAACCAACAGTTTATATTGATGGTGGTTAAACATCTATTACCTCTGGACTTTCAGTCAGGGAGTCCGTAGTTAGAATACTGCTAAATCTAATTCAGCCTAGGCAACTGGGTAGTATAATCAGACCCCGCCCCCTCACATGAGCACTGTGGATTATTATTTATATAGCCTGTTTTCGGTAATTGTGTTCTCAGTACGTAACATTAAACTTCATGCACTTCTCCCCATTGATAAACTTGAACAAAGCAAGAACAACAATTGTACCAGGATAATATGAGCTCATCTTTTATTATTTCGAGGATTCTTCTCAACTGGTTACAACCTGAACGATAAAAAATATGAATTACATTACATTAAAGATTTGAACATACTTTTCCACGATCACAAGGAGTAATTGGTAGGAAGTAAAAGTAACATTAGTCCGGAATGATTTAACTAATTAAGAGTTACAAACACTGACTATTTATAGAATAATTCAAATGAACTGTGATCAATATTTGACAGTTTATAAATATTTATAGAATAATTAGGCAATTAGGCTTGGAAACAAAAACAAGCTGTTGTATATTTTTTGTTGTCACCAGGGCAGTGCAAGATTCACCACTGTCTCTTTCTGCGTACATAGATTTGGTTTAAGTCGTCTGATAGCAATTGCTTCAGCAAAGCGTAGCAAGTTAGGTTTCTTTTGCTTGTTGATTATTTTGAATGACTTCAAGTTGTCTACATTATGACCAGTGTCTAATAGATGACGCGCAATTGCACTGTTTAATACTTGTGGACCTTTCAGTCTCAGGTTCTTTGGTATGTGTTCAGAAATGTGGACAATAACCCTTCTCTCTGTTCTTCCGATGTATGTGCTTTGGTACGTACATGTAAATTGGTAGACACAGTTGGAGGTAACATGAGGTGGGTATTTGTCCACTTTTGATTGTCTCAAACAACTAGTTGTTTGATAAACACATACAAGCTTGGCGGCTGGATATGTTCTTTTCAGGGCAGCGTTCAGTCTGCATCTTATTCTACTGGCAGTATCATCACCTTTGAATGCAAGCTGCAGAAAGATAGGCTTTTTCTCTACTGTGCTGCTTTTCACTTTTTCAACATGACGTCTCCCATACTTGTCGATGAACTTTTGTGGGTAACCGTTGTCGCGTAGGCATTTCTCCACAATGGATAGCTCTTCCTCAATCTTTTCTTCTGAACACAGCTTCCTTACACGATCAAATAATGTTCTCACCAATCCTTTTTTGTAACTTATAGGGCAGAAACTTTTGAAGTTAAGATAAACCGCCCTACAGGTCTCTTTTCTGTGTATATATCTTATGATTTTGCCGTCTATATCTCGTTGGATACCCAGGTCAAGAAAATGGAACTTCTCCTCTTTTCCATGCTCCATTGTAAACTTAATATTAGGATGGGCGCTGTTCAAGACTTTTAGTACTTGAGATGCATTATCCACTGGTTACAACCTGTCACTGATTGTAACCAGTTGAGAAGAATTCTCGAAATTATAAAAGATGAGCTCATATTATGCTGGTACAATTGTTGTTCTTGCTTTGTTCAAGTTTATTATTGGGAAGAATTGCATGAAGTTTTTGAAGAAACGTCTCTCTTCTCAATCCTTTAAGTCACTGAATCGCCTGGTGACCATACGGTGCAGGACATCTAAAGAGTTGACTCGTCTGAGGTTCTTTGAAGAATGTCTATATACCTGCTGTTTTCCACGCCAGTTTTTCAAGTCTGTCAGGCTTTGCTTTGCAAGTTGCCACCTGGCTCCAAGTCTGCCCACACGTTTTCATCTCCTCTTCACATGATCTCCTCCAAGTCACCCTTGCACTGACGACGAACTCGCCGCTTCCCTTTCGGGTTCCACTCGAGCGATGGCTTGTCTAGTGATGTCACTTGATGGTTTCCTCAGAGTATGGCCAACCAATCCATCTCCATTTCTTCCTGCCTATTTGTTTCACAATCGGTTCCTGCTGTGTTGGTTCGCTCATTCCAGAGATCCATCCTCGTTGCTGATCTTTTCTGACCGGCCATCTGATCTTGAGTATTGAGCGAAGACAACTGTTGATGAAGGTCTGTAGTTTGTTTGAGATGCTCTTTATGACGCTCAGTGCAAGTCTCTGATCAGTATAGTAACACTGACTGACTTCACATTGGAGTTGAAAATCCGGATGTTATTTTTGATGCTGAGTGTTGTTGACCTCCACACAGACTTGAGAGTAGTGAAAGCTTGTCTTGCTTTTCCGATTCTTGCTTTGATATCCTCGTCAGTTCCGTCTGCCTGTAGTTGAAACGATGCTTCCAAGGTAGGTAGGTAAAGGGGGTTGTTTCTTTCAGATTCCTCCCAATTTATGTTGATTGTTGTCTGTTGTCGTTGTTGCTGTTGGTGGTGTTACCCAGGAATCTTCATCACCTCTGTTTTCTCTATGTTCACCTGAAGTCCTATCTTCTCTGGATGCTTCTTCTGCCAACTTGTTGCTTTTCGCTTGCATATCTTCCAGTTTGTGGGAAATCAGACATATATCATCGGCGAAGTCCAGATCCTCCAAGTTTTTTGTGTGAGTCCATTTTATGCCTGTTTCCTCATTGCCCGCTGTTTGTCGCATTATCCAGTCTACTGCAATCAGGAAAATCATTGGCGATAGTAGACAGCCTTGTCTTACTCCTGTCCTCACTTCGAAGGATTCCGTGAGTTTCCCGTTGTGGATTACTTGGCATGCAGCATTGTCGTACAGCTGTTGGATGAGATGTATAATTGTCGGTGGCACCCCATAGTAGCGAAGTAGTTTCCAAATCACCTCTCGATCGACGCTGTCGAAGGCCTTTTCAAAGTCGATGAAGTTGAGATAGAGAGGTGACTGCCATTCCAAGCTTTGTTCAATGATGATCCGTAATGTGGCGATCTGATCAATGCATGACTTGTTTCTCCTGAATCCAGCCTGTTCCGGTCGAAGTTTTTCATCCAGGGTGGCGTGTTTGATTCTCTCCAGGATGATGCAACTTTGTATTTTGCTTGGGATGGACAGGAGCACAATTCCGCGCCAGTTCTTGCATTGACTTAAGTCTCCTTTCTTTGGTAGTTTGAATAAGTATCCTTTCTTCCAATCCTCTGGTACTTTGCCTTCTTTCCACACCTTCTCCAGTAGTGGCGTCATCAAGTCCGCTGTTGTCTCTGGGTCCATTTTCAACGCTTCTGCTGGGATTCCATCTGGTCCTGCTGCTTTTCCAGCTTTTAGCATCTTGATTGCCTTCAGGACTTCTGATTTCGTCGGGGGTTTGGTGTTCACTGGTAGCTCTGTCTCCGTTGTTGGTATTGTTGGGCGCGTTGTAGGTGGTGGTCGATTTAGGAGTCTTTTGAAGTGTTCAGCCCAGTGTTTCCTTTGCTCCACTTCTTTGTTGAGTGACTTTCCATTGTCATCCTTCACCGGCTTAATTTGTGTCAAACTTTTGCCCGATAGGTACCTAGTTGTTTGGTAGAGTGTTGCGAGGTCTCCTTTGCCTGCAGCTTGTTCTGCTTCACTTGCCATGGTTTCATAATACTTTCTTTTGTCTTCTCTGGCACTCTTCTTTACTCTTTTGTTCAGTGTCTTGTAGCTCGCATTCAAATCCTGTTTTTGTTGCTCATCGGTGCACTGGAGAATCTTTTGTTTCACCATCCCTCTCTCTTCTATCACTCTCCAAATGTCCGTATTGAGCCACTGTTTGTCCTCTCTCTTCTTTCTGCCTAGAACTTCCATGCAGGTTTGACTCCACACTGTTTTCAAGTTGTTCCAGTGCTTTTTGACGCTGACCTCTTCGCTAGTGTTGACTTGTGTCTCGGCTTTGTGCTTTATGCTTGCAGTGAAGATGTCCTTTGTGTCCTGGTCCTTCAGTTTTTGAGTGTTGAACTTGTCTTGTGGCTTGAAAAATAATGCTAACAAGCGAATCAGTACATCATCCAGTAATTAAGCACTGTTTAAAGGGTTTTTGAAGCTTTTTCTTGGGTGGTTGGGTGAGTGAGTGAGTGAGACTTTAGCTTTTGTCATAGGATATATTAGGCTACTAATTAAATTGAGATAGGGATGCTTTTGAAAGAGCGAATAAATTTCAAAATAAAAAGTGAATTCTATGCGTGTATAGAATCTTCTGTCTAGGTTTCTTATGTTAATTGAAAAATAGTTGAACCTGGTGAACTTTCATGTTGATTAAACTGTGTATTCCCTTATTATCGTTCTTCACTATTTATTTTTAAAAACAAAATTAAAACTCCTAAACATATATATTTAATTCTTTTTTTCATTTTACAGATTCTAATGGATTCGATCTGTTAACTGCTCCTATTCAACAGACATCAGAGAAACGTACTTGTGTGACTACTACACCTATTGCCGAAAGTAAACATGCACCGATAGGCAATTTGAATGCTCGAAGAACGTATGACTTTGCCAATCCGATTGCAAAAACTGAAAATTTCGATCATCATTTGCCTAGATACTCTCATCTTTCAAATACAGTCGATAGGTGTGGAGGATATGATAGTCAGATAAAAGTAAGTTAATGTAATATATATGATTTGTCGGTGGCGGAGGGGAGGGGCGATAGTACTAAGCTGCTTTATTTTTATACTTCACGTTTAAATAATGTTATCTTTAGTGTAAATATTTACAAGTGTTTCACAAAGTTTTCTGTCTGCTTTGATTGATGCTACATTTTATCCACTCATCATTTGTTTGACTAGGCGGCGGCTGACTGACGATTAGTCAGATTTAATCATTCAAATGTGTCGATAACTTACCTTTTAAATTATATCAAAATTTCCACTGTTAGTGGATATGTAGTCCTGTAGATGATACTGTATCAACTCCTCGAACAATGTGGACTCTTATCGGCATAGATTATATTGATTTTACAGAGCACTGGTATATAATCAGTTTCCAGTTAGTTATTCATGATAGTAGTGTGGGGTAGAATATATTTCTTATTCTTACGAGAGTCATTTTGTTTGACAAATCCCCCACAGACACAGGATCACACTTCACTTCATACGTTTGACTGTATTACTGTTGCCCATAGTGATGTTAAGCATGGTCAGTGTGATCTAAATGCAACACCTCGCTATCAATTGGAGACTAATCCATTTTTTGGATTTCTACGTGAATTCCGGGTGGTACATAGAACTTTAATGTTTCAGTAACAGTGGGTGGGTTTGCAAACCTCCCGCCACATCTTCCGTCTTTATCAGGCTTAGAAGTGTGGTGGCCGGGGATCGAACCCCAGACCACATGAATCATTGGCGGGCATTCTACCACTGAACCGCCAAAACTATTCACCTGTCTAGAACTTGTTGGACTGAAAAAAGGTCGAATTTTTAACTTCTTTTAAAAGTCAGCTTTAACATATTTCGACTTATTCGAAAACTAAGATTCTTAACAGTTTCATTTATTTCGTTATATGTGTAATTTGAATATTTGCTGTTGTACAAATTGTTGCTGTTATGTAGGCCTCAGCTCTTCAGACGCCAACCTCTCAAACAGTATGCTTCAATTCAGTTAAACGACGTCAGTTGGAACGTTTACAAAAACGTTCTGATTGGTTTTTGAGTCCTCCTGCTGGTTTAAGATCATCCACTGGTCTTATCCACTTAAACCCCAAAGCTCCAGATGGTGAGTTTCATTTTTGCAGTCTTTAACTGCTGCTGTTTTATATTTAACGAATTCATTTACTCTACTTATTTGATAGGTGGTTTCGTACTACCTGGAATTAAGTGGGGTTTTCTTAATTGTAAATAGTGATTATATAGGTGTGACTTTCCTTGTTTACCGTGTCCACTTTTAACCAGAGAGTCGCACTGGAGACGTGTTCAGCCTTTGCAAGATTTAAGTCAGATAAAGATTCTAGTCTGTCTCATTGATTGACTGATCGACATAAATCTTCAGGCATAAATATAACAGATCAGGTTGTCATACTTTTTTATTTTTATATTTTAATTATACCTTGATTCCATACAGTATTTTTGGTACAAGTATGGAATTCTCAGTATGTAATATTGGCAGCCCAAACTTAACAGGCCGACCATTGTTATCAGGTGTACGTCGGCCGGGGATCGAACTCCAGACCGTGTGCATGGTTGGCGAGCGTCCTACCGCTGTGTCACCGACTCACACGACGGAAATACAAAGAAACTCTAATTGAAATGTATGGGGATAAAATAACTTCATAAAGAGTAGTGAGGATATTCAGACTCTGATTGATAACAAAGAGTGAAGACATCTGCACCAATTTCATCATCTCGAGGACCCCAGACCTCTCTATAGGACTCGTACTGACAATGAAAGACTTCATGAGTTAGTCCCGTTGTACGGCTTGACCACACCTGATCCTAGTATTACTGACCATATTGCTCCCCCTAACTCGAAAAATTCAATGGAGACACGTTTAATTGAAAACCGCCTATGTGTGCAATATCAGATGGCACGTCTCACAGACGTGAAGTAGGTTGGGGGGACTACAGCACAGTCCACACATCCTTTCATGGACAGGCGATAGCATGTAGATATCAGCATAAATACAAGTTAACGAATACTAAAAAAGCCTTTTTATCCATTCTCAAATTTTGTCTGTAATTAGGGTGAGCTGAAGTAGTCATCATCATCATCATCAGTCCCTTGACTTTCGTCGTGGGGGTGCTATGACAGTTCGCGCTATCAGTCTTCGCCATTCTTCTCGGTTTAATGCTATTTTCTGTAGCGTATCCAAGGGCATTTCAGTCCACTCTTTTATGTTGTCAAGCCAGCTCTTATTCGGTCTACCTCTCTTTCGTGCTCCTCCTACTGTGCCTTGTAGAATCGTTTTGGACAATGTGTCATGTCTTACCGTGTGGCCGAACCATTGTAGTTTCCGTTTCTTTACGATTGAAAGGAGTGGTTCCTGTTTTCCTGCCAGTCTATGGACCTGGTGTAAGACATATTCATTAGTTTTCCTTTCAAGGTAACTTATTCCTAAGATCTTCATAGCTTTTTTCGAAGGCTTGTATTCTTCTTTCTGCTCTGCTTCAGGGTCCAGCTCTCACATCCATATAGGAATACAGAGAGGACCAGTGACGAGTAGAGTTTCATTTTTGCTGAGACTTGATGTTGCTTTAGGTATTTGAAAGTTTCAACCTCTTCTTACTTATCAATAAACTCATCGGGGTCCCCGCGGACCGGCCCTATCACATCACCCTATATTCGGCCGAAGGCACCTCACTCCGGGCAAATGAGTAGTATTGTTAGCCCTCGTAGAATATTTATATCATTCATATCCAGGTACATGAACGCATCTGTTCTGGGTAACTGAGTTTGTCTTTGGTTTGATGCCATCAGGTGTGTGCTGTCGTTTTCTTCGTTCATAACTTTGTTTTAGGTCTAACAGAGAAGTAATAAACTCATGCGTATATAATACCGTATGCATTAGACATCCAGTAAAATGTTTCGCTAAACACTAGTTGCTCAATAAAATACCTCAGTTGTTTATTCTCCTATTACTCATTGAAGCCTGCTCACTAATGCTGATTAGTGATCAGTCTTGTCTATCAGTCTTACTATGGTATCTCCCAATTAGGTAGTCTTCAGTATCCACACCACAATTTCAGGAGTGATTGTGTGTTGGTGTATCTTCCCCATATACAATTTATCAATTTATGATTGTTTTGCTTACATTGTCTTAAGATTGTTCGAGCTCTTGTTTACTTTTCCCCCATTAGTTGGCCATACTCACCTTTCACCTCATGCTGAAAATGAAACGGAAAAATCTCCAAGTAACTATGATAACAATGATAATAATAATAACCCAATTGTGCCTGTTGAACAAAATTCCACATCAGATATTGATTCAACATCACTAATGGATATTGAGTTATCTGAAGATGTTGTTGTCACTGATTATAATAGTAATCTGGGTCATTACAATGTTAATGATGATGTCGGACACTTGGTATTCACTGCACCGGAACGTTTATGGGATTGTGGTAATGTGAAGACAACGACTGTCAGTACTGGTTGTAAAAGGAATTCACGTACACTGTTGCCTGAACAAACAACAGCACCAACGGCTACAAGTTCTCCGAATTGGCAAACAGATAGCCTTAAAAATTATCCAGCTAAACGGTCTTCCCTTCGACCAGTTATTGATGAGAAAGAGAATTATCCAGAGGCAAGTGTTTTTGCATTTTTGTTTTACATATAATTTATCTTTTTGTTACTGCTATAGTTGATCTTGGCGTAAGAGTTGAACTCGTTGTTAACAAGTGTTCCCTTGGCATGTGATTTATGCATACATACACTTATCTCCTCCTATGTTCAGTAGTGTCCACTTGAATTCGATAAGATTCTGCTTCTTCACTGCAGAAATTGGGATACTGTATTTTTAACTTAGAAGGGAAACAGTTGTTTCACTATGTTGTTTTTTCACAGTTATTTATTGCGTTTGCCGTAAAAACTAGAATGTGGATACCGGCTTCCCACCCCCCCCCCTCATTTCAGCCACTTTTTCCTTCTAACTATCATGTTTATGCAAAGGTGAAATTAAGGCCTTCATTGACCTAACTAAACGTTGTCCATATCAGCTAATCATTTTTGCTATACATTGTGTGCGTGTGTTTGTGTATTTATGTACAAACGCACAGGACATAAGTAATAAGGCTAAGACCTTATACGCATCTTGCCCATTTTCATACGATTACCACCACTGTATGCTTTTGCTGACTACTTTTTTTCTTCTTTTTTTACAAGCTTTAGTGATTGACTGCCCTACCCTAGTTTCTTTTGTTAACCTTAACTCTTTAACCATTGAGGAGAAAAATGTTTATCCTTCTTTTTGTTAAAATTATTCACATGGATTGAGACTTCACGCAGTCGTTTTGGAATTGACGGAAATATTGTTACCATCATCGTTGTGTTTTCAAGAATTAGACTGTAGGAATTTAATTTGTTTTAAGTTTGATCATAGATTGATACCAGTTAGATAATCACTGTGAACCAAGGAATACTTGGTAGTAGTTTCGACCTAGTTTGGGATTCATTAGCAGTACGCACTCACTGGGGTTCGAACCTAGGACTTTGCGGTTACGAGGTAAAACATCCAGCCACTGGGACCCCGATTCAATAGTCCATGAAACCCAACTTCTACTAGTTCGTGATTTTACCGTGACTGGCACTAGCCAATGTCGTTGTTGATGTCGCTCGGTAGTAACTGGCTACATGACGAAGTCACCTGCAGTTCTAGTGATAAGTCGTTACCAGCGTTGTTCATCCGGTCGGCAGATGACATTAGCTGGTAGTCATGCTAAAATCACTAATTGATAGAAGTTGAGATTCCTGGGTCATTGAGTCCAGTCCTAGTCACTGAATGTTTTACGAGCTTGCCTCGTAACCGTAAGGTCCTAGGTCCGAACCCCGGTGGGCGCGTACTGTTGATGAGTCCCAAACTAGGTCGAAACTACTAGTTCTCAATGGTTCTCTAACTGATATCAATCCATGGCCAAACTTGAAATCCATCTATGTTTCTAAATGTGTATTAAGATTGTCAACTCGTTTAGAAGCGTCACGTATTTGTTTTTTAATCCATGTGTGTTAGCATTTTAGTGAGACGATTGACGACTACTCAGCGACCACTATGTATATATGCCACTAAAATAATATTACTTTTATTACTTTTCTTCTCAGGTGGAAACGCGATACTATGTTGTTGAGAGATATTACGGTCCTGAGCCTCGACCACCACCGATTGGGGTTGGCGGTGCTGGTGCTGGTCAGCGTGTTATGAATCATGATAGGGTACCTCATGCCTGTCGTTTATAGGCTGGATGATAACTAGCATAAACAGAAATTCAAACTGCACTTTTCGCCTTTTGTGTACACAGTATATACTCCAATTTAGTTACTACTGTTTGATATTTGCTGTTTTTCTTCTTTACAACAAAACACAGTACACACCGTCTTTTTATAACAAACAAAAGTATGTATTATAGCTATGATATTTATCACCCAAAAGAATTCCGATCTCATCAATATTCCTTCAAATCATTACTAATATTCATTACACTATTATCTGCTTTACATGTTTCAGTGGTCTTTTTAAAAGGATATACATATATATGTAATCGATAATATATCATCCGAAGCTTGCTCCAGAACCACTTCACAATATCCTTAACCCATTTTTGTCAAAGATTTCCTAGCGGTATATATATATATATATATATATATATATTATTATTGTATTGCTCTACACTATGTGCCTATACTATACACACTGTTCTTACCACTCTTCAGGTGGAATGTTATTACTAATCTTGTCGCAAAGGATTATAATTCTATTAGTTATATTTTGATATGTTTTTCTCTTTTCCTCTCTCCTCTCTGATTTTTCTTTGTTTTTGATGTATACGTACACAAAAGGCTGTAGGCAAAAGTGAATATGGTGAAATGCATTACCCGACAAAGTTATTGGGAGATGATGCAGAGAACGACTTCTTCACATAATAACACTAATGTGTTCACTTGTTGTTTAATATTGTTCACATCGGTGCGTTTTACAGTTCTGGGCTTGATATTATTATTATCACTATTATTATTATTATTATTATTTAAATGCAGGAAAATAAATGCCGACCATTGAAATATTTGGTTGTCGTTGTTTAACTCTTTAATTTCTGCGCTTAAATGATTCTTCTTCTTCTTCTTGATCTCCTACTCCTCCACATCTCCTTTCCTTGTCTCTTGTTTCGATTGTCTGTTTGTTTTTTAGCCTGTGGGCGTTAATCACATTATTATTAATAAACTAGGCTAGTGTGTTTGTGCGCTAGTCAGTCGATTGCCTTTTCTCTCCACACTTCCTCTTAGGTTGGAAAAAAGATGTGTGAGAAAAATGCCCAATTATTACTTCTTTTTTTAAACCCTATAAACATTTTTACAATTACTAGTTTTATTGATACTGCTTATTATTTGCCAATACAAGCAATATAGAGCAGTGTATTGTTAATGGTGTATTCTTAGGGAGATTTTGTGTTCTCATCTTGACGATTCACTGTTTCTAGAGTTTTTATATATATGAGATTGTTTTGTCTTCCATGGTTTCATACAATTTTCTACATTTAAAGAATGTATGTATTGTGTGTGTGTGTTGGGGGTGTGTGTGTGTGTGTGTTGGGGGTGTGTGTGTGTGTGGTTGAGCATCTTTATTTGACCAACACTTCTTCATAATACAATAATAGTGATTATTGTTGTGTTCTTTTTTAATTATGATTATTATTTTTGAAGTGATTCCATTCATATGCATATGCGCATATATATGAGTAGATAACTAACTAATTCCCCATTATTGTGTGTGGGGCTGTGTATCTATCTATCTATCCATTTGTCTTATATATGTAAATATATATTAAATAAGACTAAGTGTGGACAATAACTTTGTTTTTGATACTTACTGTACACGTTAAACGTGCTCTTCTTTTACTCCTTATATCACACCTTAGACTATCTAATCGGTCACATTTTTGTTAAACACAGTGTAAGCATTGTGGGTGTTGGTTGCATGGGCGTGTCTTCTCCATTTGTTTCCCTCCTCTTTCCTATCTCTTTTACTAAATAGAGACAATTCTTCTCCTTTTATATATATATATATATATCATCACAATGTATTCTGTTCTTGTCTGTTCTTTTCTTCTCTTTTTGGTTTTTTTATGCGTAAAAGATTTGTACAAAACAAACTTGGCCTTGTTGTGCTTTATTCTCCACTTTCTATGGTTTCTCATAGTATGTGTGTGTGTGTTATTGCTTTATTGAGAATTGAAAACCATTTTTATGTTTATTAAAATGATGAGTGATACAATTTTATCTGTCTACTTCTTTGTTGTTGTTGTTGTTGTTTTATACTTTAGATAGTTTATCACTAGTGTTGTGTTACAGTTAGTGCAACGTGTAAATGTCAGCAAAGTAGGAGATGTCTTCACTACTGTACAATTGTCCTAACTTACATCTGACAGTAGGGAGTAAAGTAGTAGTAGTAGTAGTAGTAGTAGGAGCTAGTGATTTGTGAAATTAAATCTAACCAGGCCTTCTGTGTGCACTTTTATTCAACGACATATTCTACTATTTATTCGATATAAGCGAAGGTAAGAAGTTTGGCTAAATGTGGGGGAAGCACACTCGGTTTCCCATAATATACCATAAAACCTGAGATTTGTGACTCTTTGGTGTAGTGTATGTACTTGAACCTGAAGTGACTACAACTTATCTTAAGCGATAATTAATTTCCAGAAAATGTATTCAACTGAAATTAAACCACTCAAACGTCTTCCTATTCAAGCTTAACTATAAACAGGTGATAGGTCATGTAGGGTGTATAATAATATAATAGCTTTAATTGGTGGATGGTGACTAGCAGTGGAATCCACTGATATATACTCCTTTTTAATATCATCTTCTGAAGCAAGATTGTATTACCTGAAGCCTGCTGCAGTACTACTTCACATTGTTCTTCCTCCATTCACTTCGAAAAATTCCTAAGCGGTGGTAGGTAGGAACTTATTTGAAGTGGCTCGCGAGTATGAACTGTGACTCATTGTGATAATCAGATGAAACGGATTAGTAAACACGATGCATTTTGATGGATAAAAATTTAGGTAGCCCAGTGATTTAAGCAGGCTACCATGTGTGTGTGAGGGAGAGGAGTATTGATCGATAGTTCCAAAAGCCGCCTACTGAGAGTGGGGTTTGAACCCAATTGAGAAAATACACCCTAGGGGATCCTAAATCCACAAGTAATGCATGTTGGCAAACTTGAAATAACACTTTTCCACTATTTGCTGTCGATACTTGTGTTCATTCTGCCCATGAATCGTTCACATTTCCCATATCCAGAAAAACTTGACTATTTGGCATAGTGTCTGGGGATAGTCTACTATCTCAGGTCACCGCTCTGGGTCGATTTCTATTTCCTGAGATGTTAGCTTTAGATCTTCATATACCCAAATGATTAATTACACTGCACCAATGCTAAGGTGGCTACTGTCTGAGTATATATTGTAAAGTTCTAACAATCTACCTTCACAGCATGTGGAAAGGCATACATACAAGAGCTACTATCTGACCTCTGAAGTTTAGTGTTGAAAATTCCGCATTATGCCTAAACAGTAAATCTTATATGATTAGTGTCATATATACTTTGTTGGTATGGAAACAGCTTTAAGGGCATTTTGGAGATTAGTGTCGGTAGCACAGCGGTAGAATGCTCGCCAACCACGCATGGGGTTCGATCCCCAGCCGACTCTCTCTTTACCTCACGAAGCCTTTAATAAGACCGGTAAAGAGGGGAGTTTGGGCATGAGGTTAGCAACTCCATGCCGTAAAAATAAGCACCACTGCTTCCGAAACTTAGAGCATCTAGCTTGAAGCCCTATGTTCCACTGGTAACGTAAAGGAATAAGAAAAAGGAAAACACCTGTAAGGGCATCTTGGAGATTAGTAGAATTCGTCGGATATATCAACAAGCATTCATGAAATTTCACCCTTGTTAGTATTGAATCTGCTTGTTTATAGTTGAATGACCTACTCATTATTCACTAATTTTATGCTTTCAACATTTAGGCGTTGCTTCACTTTTGATCAAAATTCTGTTGAGTTTGATGAGTAAAGAATTAGTTTGGATATAAGACCTTAAAGTTTGACACAACTGGAATTGCTGAAAAAACGTTTCTGTGTCCATCAATGTGGTTATCTCTGAAAAGACAGGTGTGTTAATTAGTGGGACATTGTGATGCAGCTCAGTCATCATCATCAGTAAACTCCTAGGAATAGCGTGAACGACATCCACTTCTGTACTATGGTAAAAGTGTCTTGTATAGCAGATACTTTTATTCGAAAGGCTGTCAAGAATGATGTCGGAGAATAACTAGTTATCAGAAATCCCATACATATATCCTTTGTTTCGTAAATTCGATGATTTGGAGAAACGGAGTGTAGAACTATATACGTTCACTTAGTTTCGTTTTTCCTCTTATCATGTGTGTATAACTTGAAAGACTGATAATTTAGTGACTCATTTGTCTGTTTTCATGACTACATTCCCGTAATAACCAACATTACGGAAGACAAGAATGGTTCCCATTAATGATGTATTCAGATTAAACATTACCATCTGATTATTGTGGATTTGTGAATTTGGTTGTATGTGTGTTACCAGTTCATAGAAGTAGCAAAGTGGAATTTAGGCTACCATGCCATGAGCTGGCAGGACACACCGTTGATTAGGTTGGTCCCAAACGGGGGTGGAACACCTGTACAGTGTTTAGATCACTTGAGTCTGTCTAACAAAGCAGAGCTGGTTGACATGAGTGGTTTGCAGCTACTCAGGGTAGGATGGTGGGTAGTGGAGTTCGGTAACTAATAACTCATGCTTTTCACTCACCATCAGATTAGCTACTTGTTTATTTTAAAGAAGAAACTTATGGTATGAATTTCAAATAGCAGACGAGGAAGAGATCTCCATACTTCACCAGCAATTGTTACTGTACTTTTCGCGATCAAATAAACTGTCTGTATTCACCGAGTTAAACCCGTCATATTGCACTGCCAGTCATTGAGTTTGCTCCGCCTGTTTTTACCCCTAGTTGGCAAACGATGCTTTAAAACCTGAATGTATGTATCCCTGTCATTCATTTCCTGATCTGTCTAAAAGATTCTTTGCATAACCAGCTTATGCACAAAGTGTATTAAGCAAGCATGGTATGGTGACTGCCTGGAATGATCTGATGAATGTTGTTAGATAATTACGGATATTCAGCAGGAATTGTGAACTTAACTAATGGGATGGAGAGCATGAAGGCAATTACGGTCTGTCGGTTTTCGACATAGAACTTTGCACATATGTGCGGCAGTTCGAGTCGCCACACTCCATGTTGCACACAAAGCAAGAGAAGAAGTAGAAGAACTGCATAATATAGACAGTAAACAGAGGTGTGAGACAAAGGAATAGTAATAACGGAGAACAAAACAGTTTAATTGGAAATCATAAGTCACAAGGAGTGGATGCATCTGCTCCATGGAGAACGATTTTGTGCCATATCACCAACTGTTTCCAACCATTGGTTTTCACCGTCCCGAGGACCCCAACCAGTCATGAAGTCTACACCTTCCTACGTGGCTTAGACTAACTGTTGTGGATTTCATTGACTGGTGCCATGTTTTCGTTTGACCGCCGCTAGCTCTTTTCCAGCCTGGCCCTATATCAGCTAACATTGCCCGTCGAGGAAGGCGATGACTAGGCATACGTAACACATGTCCTAACCATCTCAGTCGATGCAATTTCACAGTCTCGTCTATTGATTTCCCCTCCTTACCTAGCATTCGACGCCTAACCTCAATATTTCTCACCTTATTATACGACTTCACATGGGAGATACAACGCAGACACCTATGATCGAACACTGATAATCTTTTCATGTCTTCCGCTCTCAATGGCCAGGTCTCACAGCCATAGAGGAGGACGGGGCGGACTGTTGAGCAGTACACACGCCCTTTGGTCGATAGTCAGATATCACGTCTACGCCAGAGACGGCGTAAACTGGCATATGCGAAACTAGCCCTCTGTATTCGTGCTGAGATTTCGTCGGAGATCAACCCGTTGGGGCTGATGGTACTTCCCAAGTAAGTGAAGTGGTCAACGTGCTCTACCACTTCACTTCCTATTTCTAATCTAGGGGTCGGTGAAGTCCAATCCTGCAGCATCATCTTACACTTTACAGGGGCGAATCGCATGCCAAACATACGAAGATTGTTGCTCAAGGTGTTCAGAAGACTCTGCATTTTGTCAGCGTCCTCGCCTAGAAGGACTATATCGTCCGCATATTCTAAGTCAACGAGATTATTCCCTGGTAGCAAGTCAATCCCTGAGTCGCTGAAGTGAGTTAGGGTTAAGTCCATTAGTACGTCTATGATGAAGTTGAATAGGAATGGGGATAATGGGCATCCTTGACGGACGCCACTAGTCGTCACCACTTCAGATGACAACTCGCCGTAAGCCGTCACCCTTGGAACTTACCAGTTGGTCTGATAAATATAGTTAGTGACATACATGACTGCAACAAACAGTAGGGTGCTTAATCAATTGACAATTTCACAGTACATCAAAGTTCCATGTACATTCTCCTACAATTACTGACTGACTTATCAGTGGAGAATTTTGTACAAAAGTACAGCAGTCCAATTCCCCACACTTTCGATTATTACTCATAAAAGTAGGACAAAAAGAAATGCACCAACCAAGTGATATATATAGATATTTACTTGCATGCAATGTGTCACAATTGGTTGTAAAGTAATCAGAATTTCATTAATTATACTCGTTTTGCTTTGGTCCTGGCATCTGTAAAATCACCTGAGAAGAAGAGGTAATTCGACTTCCCTGTTAATGTGTCTGATTATTGAAATTCTGTTCCCAAGGCAGGTTTTTGCTATTAAGATTTAGCGGTATGACTTTCATGCTTGAGTTACTGAAAACAAGGCAGTTAATATAGCTTCTTTTTTCCAATTCATACTCATGGTTTACTGCATCACCCTCATTAATCCGATAAAAAGTACCGAACACTGTCAACGGAAGAAATTTGAAAGATATCACTTGCTTCACTTATCTATTAAAACATCGTTTCAAGCAAGTCCTGAGGGAACGGATAAGGATGTTAAAACCAGAATCGGGAAGGCAAGACAGACATTCATCACTCTGAAATAACTTTGGAAATCTACAGCACAGAGAACAAAATTCGGGTTTTCAACACTAATGTTCAGTCAGTCCCTTCTTCTATATGAGTCTGAAACTTGGCGTGTTATGGAAAGCATTTCCAGCAGA